ATGGCTTATTTTCACCTTATACAAGGGTAGGTACTATTGCTGCTACAGATTCTATAGTTGCAGTGTGTTGTTGTGGCTCAGTGTCAATTTCCTCTACGTAAGTGCTAATACCTGAAGTAGTTTTCTGTTGAGCAGTATTATCATGATCAAATCCTACATAGCTTGGAGTAGTACTATCATCTAACACTACCAAGCCCAAGTGTGCATCAATCGTAGTCGAAGCTGGTGCAGTTTGTTTAGACTTAAAGGGGCTCACAAAGAAATCTATGAAACTTCCTAATATGTTTTTCACTCTCTGGACAATTCCAACTTTTTTGATTGGTGAGAGTGGAAGACCTATAGCTGCCCATTTCGCATCATCAAAATCTTCTGAAGAATCTAAAGATATACCATCATCAGTTGAAATTGAAAGATTATCTCCATCTTCCTCTGGCACTGTTGAAAGTGTTGGATCAAAACTTACCTTTTTCTTTACACTTGGCGATATGTTGTGTCCATCTGTAGGATTCAGAATAGATTTTGGTTGTTGCTCGATTGAACTTTGTTGTTCCACTACTACATTATTGTCAAACACTGGCACGCCTTGCACTGGAATAGGTTGTATAATGCCTTCTTCACCTACTACTTTATTATTCCTCTTCAATAAATTCATTACTCTTGCAACAATTTTTACCCGCCAGCTTGATTCATTACCACTAGCAATGGCAGTTCTTACTGCACCATTTTCCTCTATTGTATCGATTATTCTATACTTTCTAACATTATTATTAAAACCCATTTCTTACTCCATTAATTAAATAATATAGTTAAATTATAAAATATATTATCCAGTGTATAATATATAAATAATTCCCTCTAAAATAGAGGTATCGCGCGTTAATAGAAAATAAACCTTTAGCACAACAGATGCATGAAGATCTATTAGATGAATTTGATACTTACTGGAGTTGAATTTATATAATGAAATTTTAGGCTGCTAATGGGTGTTACAAGGTCTACTGAGAATTCCAAAAAATACTTTATATGTGATATAAATCTTATGTGTATAGGTTTTTATAATTTTCTTTAGGTCAATTGGAGAAATTTTCTGTGTGCTATAATTTGCTCCCAAGTCTCTTAAATATCTCATAAAGCTGCTTGCGCTTGAAAATTCTAACGTAAATTCTTTTAAATCAGAAAAATATTCATTGGCATTGAAGGAAAGCAAATAATTATCTAACTCCTGCTTAGACGGGTACTGATAAGTCGGTACAGGTAATGAAGATTCCATGAAAATTCTAGACCACTCATTAAATGTACCATCAAGCAAGCATGAAAAGGCAAAAACACCTGAATTTTCATAAGACTTTTTTATTGTTTTATTTAAATCACTTGTCCATTGCAGTGCCAGATTCGAAATAACGAGATCATGAAAACCAAAGTCCTGTTTTTCCATGTCACCCAGCAACTCCTTTGCCTGCACTGCAAGATCTAGTCTTTTTCTTGCTTGTATGAGCATGCTAGGTGATATATCACTTAAAACAAATTTACTTTTAGGAAAATAGCTAAACAAGCTTTCTGGAACGTACCCAATACCTGTCCCCAAATCTAAAATAGAACGTGGATAAAATTTAGGAAAATATTTTTTCAAGTAATTGACCAATTTTGTAGCACACTCTCTTTGAACTAAAGCAACATTATCGTAAGATGAGCTTGCTCTGCTAAAATTACCCTGTATGGATTTCTTGTGTAATTCCATTCAAAAAATTCGCAATTTGTTCATATACAAAATCACGCTCATATAACCCTAAACAATGATGACCTTTACTGTGTACAACAATTTTTACTTTATTTCTACCAAAATTATCATAGATAAGTTCTAAAGGCACGGTACTATCATTCACTGCACCTAATATCAACAGTGGTACATTCGGTAATTGATGCATTGCAGTAAGCGACTGTAAATCCTGCATTAACTTTGCTTTGTTAAAATGACTAGAAAAGTTATGATTTATACCGCAACGCTTATGGAAGGACGTTAATGTATCTATTGGATTCATACGAAAGTGCTTTATCATCGCACTGAGTTCGAGTTTTCTTTTTTTGTGTAATCGTGAATCAAACCCTAGGAAATTGGTAAAAGCCTGCATTCCAATAAGTGCTTTAAACTCTATATTCAATGAAGCTAGCTTAATTAGCCCGAGAGAATGTCCAATACCAATAAATGTATTATCACTTTGACTCAAATCGTCTTGACTTGGCAAATCTAACATTTCCTCTCCAAAATAACCAAGATCTAAGCAGTAGCAGGAAGTATGTAAAAAGTATTCATTTATGAGAGGTGCAAAAAATTGATGATCAAATCCCCAACCATGGCAGAATACAAAGCTATATCTCATAAGACTTCTTTCAAAATCGATTTATGGTAAGAAATTTTTAGAAGAAGTGCAAGCGAGCACCGCAGAATACGTGGATGTATTTGAGGAGCACAGCTCAGCTTTAACAACAAAATTGCCATCAGAAATTGAATTTAGAAAGAAGTCTATACTTGTTTCAGAACATGCATCAAACGGTCTATATTCTCTTCAGAGTGGTTGACGTTAAGTGCAACACGTAATCTTGATGTTCCAGGAGGAACCGTGGGTGGACGTATAGCAGAAACAACTATCCCTTGCTCTAGAAGTTTTGCCTTTGCATTCATAACAGTATCTTCATCACTTAATATTATTGGAATAATATGCATAGTTGAATCTCCGGTATCAAAACCTGATATTTTCAAATTATCTCTTAAATTTGCAGCTTTAAAACACAAAGTCCGACGTTGATCGGAAAGGTATGGGACTAAACTCCAAGCTTTAGCTGCTGCTCCAATCGTAATTGGAGAAAGAGAAGTTGAATAAATAAATCCTGCGCACTTATTGATAAGATAATTTTTTATAACTTTAGAACAAGCAACATACGCACCAAAACACCCCAAAGCCTTACTGAAAGTACCTAAAACTAAGTGTGGAATTTCTTGAAGATTAATATTAGTAGATAAGCCATATCCCCTATCACCAATAACACCAGTTGCATGTGCTTCGTCTAGATACAAAAAAGCGCCGTGCTCCTTGCTGAGAGTGAAAATTTCTTCTATTGGCACAATATCTCCATCCATACCGAAAATAGTTTCAGTAACAATGAACTTTGGCCTTAAGTCATTTTTAAATTTTGCAAGTAAGCTGCTTAAATGATCCATATCATTGTGTCGATATCGTACAAGTTCAGCACCACTTAAAAATACAGCTTGATATAGACTTGCATGATTAAGCTTGTCAAAAAACACAATCGGTTTGTTGCCTAGCACTGATTGATCCAGCAAACTTGCAAGTACCGTTACATTACCTTGAAATCCTGAGTTTAGAATGAGAGACGTCTCAGTTTTTTTATCTTGAGCAATTTGAATTTCAAAATCCTCAAATATTTTTTTATTACCTGAAAGTAGCCGAGAACCTGTAGACCCTACGCCAAATTGCATGCCAGCAAGTTTTGCTGCCTCAAGTAATACTCCTGATTTACTTAAGTTAAAGTAATCATTTGTAGAAAAGTCAATAAAGTCTGGAGTAAGTGTTGTATCAGGCAACTGACGATACTTTCTTTTATTTTGCAATGTATTACAATATTCATGGTACAAGTGATACATAGAGTTTTTCTTATTAGGAGGTCAAATAATGACAAAAGAATGGACTTTTGCCAAGGCAAACGAAATCTTCGCCCTGCCGTTTCCTGAATTAATTTATGCGGCACAAACAGAACATAGGAAATATTTTAACTCTAATGAGATACAAGTTAGCACACTTCTAAGTATTAAAACAGGTAGTTGCCCTGAAAACTGTTCTTATTGCCCACAATCCGCGCACTATGATACTGGACTACAAAAAGAATCCCTATCAAAAGTTGCTGAAGTAGTTGAAGCAGCAAAGCGTGCAAAAGAAGCCGGTAGTACTCGTTTCTGTATGGGTGCAGCTTGGCGTGGACCACGTGATGATGACTTAAAAATTGTTTGCGAGATGGTCAAGGAAGTAAAAAAGTTAGGCCTTGAAACATGCGTCACTCTTGGATTATTGAAAGACCATCAAGCTAATATGCTGAAAGAAGCTGGGTTGGACTTTTATAATCACAATGTCGACACATCTGAAGAGTACTATGACAAAATTATCACAACACGTACTTTTAAAGATCGCTTAGATACGCTGGAACATGTACGTAGTGCTGGAATTAAAGTTTGCTGTGGTGGTATTCTTGGCATGGGTGAAACTAATGAGGACCGAATAAAAATGCTAGTTTGCCTCGCCAATATGAACGAACCTCCAGAATCAGTACCAATTAATATGCTAATAAAAATTCCTGGCACTCCGCTTGAAAATGTAGAGAGTATTGATCCATTTGATTTTGTTCGCACTATCGCAATAGCAAGAATTATGATGCCAAAGTCTTATATTCGCCTAGCTGCCGGACGAGAAAAAATGTCAGATGAACTACAGGCACTTTGCTTTCTTGCTGGTATTAATTCTATTTTCTATGGTGAAAAACTACTTACAGCACAAAATCCTGTACCCGAACGGGATAATTATTTATTCCAGAAACTAGGGCTGCAGAAATTACAATGCGTCAAACATTCTTCCTAATAGTAAAGATATAGTTAATGTGCAAATAGCAATTTAATAAAAATATTGATATAATTTATTTATTATGCAATGCTATTAACTTATAAATTAAATGGTAATATAATGAAAGAATTACAAGAAGAGCTAAAGGAACTGGAAAATGTATATCTAGAAAACATCGTTTCAACACAGCCAGTAAGTAAGATAAAAGTAAATAAAATCAACCAAATATTAATGAATTTGAAAGATTCATATATCTCAAACATGTTACACTCTGTCTTATGGAAGATTTAATTCTACCATAAATTCAGTTATTTGTCAATAGATTCCTGCAAAAGCATAAAACGAATATCTAGCTGCAGTTAAAACACTTCAAGATAAAATTGAGCATTTTCTCACTAACTTCAAAACAAAATCACTATCAGATGCAAGAGGCTTATCGAAACCATTAATTTAACAATATGCAATGCTACTCTTGACCACTGTAACATTGTCCTTTGGTAATTCTTNATTTCGCAGCATTTAGACCAGCGT